GTGTAAGTTGGAAAGATTATAACAAACTGAAGATCTCACCTCCTCAGTTCCAGCCATTTGCTATCACATGGTAACACTAGCCCAGTATGTCAAGAAAGAGAAAGTGATTAAAAGTGCTACATATGCAGAAAGGTCAAGAAAAAAGTAATAAATTATCCATTATTTTTATACTGAAGGTTATTCATTACCTTGGTGAGAACAGCTTCTAAATAGAAATGAGAATAGATGTTAAAGTAGATTGAGACACGAATGGAAAGGGTAGGACAAGAGACAGAGTATACCTACTAACAGCCTTCCTGGCCTTCTTCCTATTCAGCAAACCAGTCAGTCACTCTCTTACCTCGGGGTACGTACACTGCTCTTCTCTCTGCCTGTAACAGTTTCCTCCAAGTATCCATGTGGCTTGTTCCGTGGCCCTCTCCAGGTCTAGGTCTAAACATCATTTGAGAAGACCTTCCCTGAATATACTTTTTAAATTGCAAGCATTGCCACCCCACTACCTTGCTGCCTAGTTCGTACATCCTTCCCTGTTTTATTTTTCTCTGTAGCACTTATCCTCTCCTAATACATAATTTTCTTACTTGTTGTATTTATTGTTTTTGTTTTTCCACTAAAACAAAGCTTTATGGCAGGAGGAATTTTCAGATGTTTTGTACTTACGTCCAATTCATTGCTGTTTGTGTAGCACCTACAATTGTAATGGCAGCATTGTGATGCCCAGCAAATATTTGTTAAATTTAAAAATTCAGGAGACTTTGCTGTTATGGCAAGGAGATGTAGCAGTAGCAGTAGCTAGAGGAGAATGTGAAGCAGAGCCCTTTCTTTTTAACAATAGCATAAAGTTGAGCATATTTAGTTGGAGCATGAGAAGGAAATTGGAGTAGGAACAGTCCCAGGTCTATTCATTCAAATAAAAATTTCTGAGCACACACTGGGCTGTAGAATTTTCTAGGCATTTGAAATATACCTGTGAACAAGAACAAAGTCACTCTTTATAATCTTATAATCCAGAAGAATATGGAATTTTTGATGATTGAATTCTTTTTAAGAGATAGGATAACAAGGGTGAGAGATTGACTGTCAGTATTAGTAAAGACCAGTCTTTCATTATGGAGAGTTGTAAAGGAAGTCTGGATGAATATAGATGCAGGTAATTTTACCCAAAACCATCTCATTCTTTCTTGCTTTCTCTTGCACAGTAGCATAAACAGGGATAGAAACATATTCTGGGTTAAATAGATTTTCTGGCTTTCTAAAGTATAACTCAGATACTTTTATCTGAACTTAACACAAAGCAGAAACTCCAGATAAGAACATGTCGTGAACCTGAAGCCCTGTATTATAATAGCTAGCAGAACCACTCCCAGTATTCTTAGACTTGGCATTGGCAGCACTTCCTTTCTTTTCCTAATGTACTAACTCTGCTACTCCCCTAAGAGAACTATTTCAACATCTCGTCTCTACTCAGATCTCCAACTTTTCTTCATTCTTGTACTTAGCTAATGTCCTTGCTTCCTAGAAGTCAGAAGAAAACATCTATTCTCTTTCACCACCATGCCTACTAACTTGTCTCCATCAGAGTAGGGTATCACAAAAGCTGGGAGAGGAGAATATTTCAAGAAAGAGAAAGTGATTAAAAGTGCCAAATATTAAGAAAGGTCACAAAAAAAAGTCATAAATTGTCCATTATGTTTATTTTGAAGATTATTCATTATCTTGGTGAGAACAGCTTCTAAATAGAGGACAGTACCTATAAACCCTGCCTTCCTTCTGATGATGTAAATAGTCAAGAACATTAGGCCTTACCTAATGCTAGTCCCTCAATCCCATCTCGTCCTGCCTACTTAAGAATATGACTTGGCCGGGCACAGTGGCTCATGCCTGAAATCCCAGCTCTTTGGGAGGCCCAGGCGGGCAGATCACTCAAGGGATTACTCTCTTCTTGTTCTCATCCAGCCTAGTGGCTTTAAATGGTATCAGAGTCCAAGTGTATTCCCCCTTGAATTCCAGACTTATGTATCCAGTCTATTTGACATCTCTGCTTGAGTGTTAAGCACTCCACAGTTAATGTGTCCAGAAAGTAATTCCTGATTCCCTCACCTTGCCAACTGCTCCTCCCTGTTTTCCCCGTTTTAGTAATGAGCAATTCTGTTATTCCCAGTTGTTCAAGTGAAAAATTTAGAGTCATCCTAGACTCTTCGAGATTTTCTTACATTCTAAATGCAATCCATCAACAAATTTTCCCAGTTGTAACTAAAAATTGTATGTAGACTCGAATCACTTCTCATCACTTGTATCATTTACTGACCTGGTCCAAACTGCAGTCATCTCCAATCTTGATTATTTCAGTAGCCTCCTAACTGGTATCCCTGCTTCTGCCATTGTTTCCCTACTGTCTGATCTTACTACAGCAGCCAGAATGATCTTTCTAAAACATCAGAATACCAGAATAAAAGTCAGAGTCCTTGTATTGCCTTTGGAAGCCATTATAATATCTGTTGTTCTCTTCCCCCTACGTTTTTGACTAATGTTTTAGCAGAGAGGCCTCCTTGATCTTCTGTAATAAAAGTGACCACATTCATAACTTGCCATATTTTATCTTGTTTTATCTCTATGGCATACTATATAGCACTTGTTCATTTTTTAAATTGTCTTTATGGCCCCACTAATACATGCTTCCTGAGGGCAGGAACTTTGTTACTATATCTCTTAATCCCTAGAACAGTGTAATGCATAATAAACATAGTATAGTACTGCAGGGCGCGGTGGCTCACGCCTGTAATCCCAGCACTTTGGGAGGCCGAGGCGGGTGGATCACGAGGTCAGGAAATCGAGACCATCCTGGCCAACATGGTGAAACCCCATCTCTACTAAAAAGTACAAAAAATTAGCCAGGCATGGTGGCGCGTGCCTGTCGTCCCAGGTACTCGGGAGGCTGAGGCAGGAGAATTGCTTGAAACTGGAAAACGGAAATTGCAGTGAGCCAGGATCGCGCCACTGCACTCCAGCCTGGCGATAGAGCGAGAGACTGTCTCAAAAAAAAAAAAAAACACATAGTATAGTACTTAGTAAACCTTTAAATAAATAGTTGTTAGGTGAATGAATAAATTTTGTGTGTGTGTTTTTACTGTATGTCTCCCTCCTGCGGCTTGAGACACAAAATTTGAATTGTAATACTCACTGGAAAATAGGTGGAAATTATTCAGAACACATTTTTTGAGCACCTACTCTGTTCAGGGAATACAGTAGTGACAAGAATAGCTTATCCAAGAGAGGGTCTTCATGAAGAGGAAAATAGAGACCAATGATACTAAAACATTTCCAGGGATCATTCTCAGAATAGTTTGTGGTGGTTTGCAAATCTGTTACAAGTTTTCATAATCTTATTGAATTTCGGAGCTGGAATGGACTAGTTTAACCCTCTCATTTTACAGATTTAATGAAATTGAACTGTATGAAATGTAAGGGACTTGCCCAGTGTCTCTACTCCATGAGTTAAAGATCAAACAGAGATACAAGTCTAGGTCTGGTCCGCTGATTTACCAGCCACTGACTTTTCTACTATGCCATGCTGCCTTCCATTACAAATCCACAACAAATTTATTTTCAAAAGCAGACTATTTGCTATTGCTTTATCTTTTTTAGTTAAGCACAATATCTGATAGAAACCTAGTTCTTTTATATTTTTTCAAAATGTGAGAGGTTAAATTTATTACTTTCATAGAAAGCTTGCAATGAATTTAAAGTTGATTTTAAGCAATAAAGTAATTCTTATAATTTAAAGTTAATTGTGTTTTTAAGAATATGATTAAGTTAGAAGAATGAACTGAATTTGTTTATATCAATTTCTCTTTAAAAAATTGTTGCAGAGAAACTCTTGCTACTCAGTTGGATCTAGCAGAAACAAAAGCTGAGTCTGAGCAGTTGGCTCGAGGGCTTCTGGAAGAACAGTATTTTGAATTGACGCAAGAAAGCAAGAAAGCTGCTTCAAGAAATAGACAAGAGATTACAGATAAAGATCACACTGTTAGTCGGGTAAGTGTGATAGGTTATATAAAATTTATTTAAATCACAGTAGGTCACATCTTAAAGTATTAGGGTAAGTGTGTGTGTGCACACATATTTACTTCTACTTTATACATCGTGGTCATTCTGTATTCAGGTATAAAATAGTTTGTATATTACCAAACATTTGTTAATTATTGAAATTTCTTAGTATTTTGGACTTTTTGTATAGGCACAGAACCAATGCAATATTGGGCTCTTTTTCTTTCTGGCTGTAGATCTTATTAGTTATATTTCATATGAAGAAATGTCTTAGCTTAAATTCATTTGTTGTTCTCTTAATACATTGCAACTGATTTTATGGGCCAGAATTCTGTGAAATAAAAGAAACTATTTGGGGATGAGGAATTCTTGGGATAATATATAAATCCATTTATAAGAAAACCAATACTCCAAACAATTACCTATTCCTGAGGTTTAAACTGTAGTCTATATAGAATCATCGGACTAAAAAGAGGAGTTAGATCTTCTAAAGCCACCATCGGTCTCTCTGGTATAAGCAGGCCTGGGTTCCAGTTTTGCTCCAAGAAGTTATATGGTCTTGGTGAAGTTGACTTTAACTTCTCTAAGCCTCAGATTTCTCATGTATAAAACAGAAATAGTAATATGCCTTCCACATGATTGTTATGAGAATTAAATAAGACAGTACACATAGAATGATTAATACAACATATAACATAGTGATTATACATTACTAAAAGTAATCTATAAACAAGTGTTTATATTATCATTTTCATCATCAGTATTCAGATGAAGATGTTGAAGTCTAGGAAGATTATGACTTGCTCAGGATCACGTACTAGGTTAATCACAGAGCTAGAACTAAATACAAATTCCTTAGTTTGCAATCTAGTTATCTTGCTGTTACATATGCCCCCTTTCATTCACATATATCCACATGAATACACTGAAATAATTTTTGGAGGCTGTTAACTACTTTTAAATGTTTTTGATGTAATTATATCTACACATTTTAAGCTGGAAACCAGACATTTGCTGTAGTTCAGCAGTGTCTGATCTGTTTTTATCTAGCACTGTATTTTAAAGGTTGTTGCCTGAAATATGAGAATAGCAAAGAGACTGGAGCGTAAACTTTTGTGTGCTTTGTTTAGCTTGAAGAAGCAAACAGCATGCTAACCAAAGATATTGAAATATTAAGAAGAGAGAACGAAGAGCTGACAGAGAAAATGAGGAGGACAGAGGAAGGTATGTAGAATTTTAAAAAATCATTATGTTTAAATCAAGTTCAGTGATAACGGCTTTACCTACGTTGTGTTAGGTTTCTAAGATACCTGTTTTCACATATTAAATAACTTCTATAGCCTTAAGAATTATCTTAACGAAGTTACTGAAAGTTACTGTGTAATATATACTCATTTGAACAATTAAGGACATTGTTAGTTTGAAATGCAGAAATTAAATTAAGGCCATACAATAACATTTAATATACTTTGTTGACAGAATATAAATTGGAGAAGGAAGAGGAAATCAGTAACCTTAAGGCTGCTTTTGAAAAGAATATCAACACTGAACGAACGCTTAAAACACAGGTATACATGCCTTCAGTCTTTTCCACACGTTCATTTTTGAGTTAATCATTGCTCTTTATGCACTTTTTCCTAAAACCAAGGCTTATAAGGTTCAAGCTTTTCATCAGAACAAATAATGTAAATTCTTTCCCTGTTAACTATAAAATACTTATTTGTGAAATAGGATTTCAAGGCCAGGCATGGTGGCTCATGCCTATAATCCTAGAACTTTAGGGGGCTGAGGCCAGCAGATCACTTAAGGCCAGGAGTTCGAGAAGAGCCTGGCCAACATGGCAAAACCCCAGTCTCTACTAAAAATACAAAAATTAGCCGGGCATGGTGGTGCGCTCCAGTAATACCAGCTACTCAGGTGGCTGAGGCATGCGAATCACTTGAACTCAGGAGGCAGAGATTGCATTGAGCCAAGATTGTGCCACTGCATGCCAGCCTGGGTGACAGAGCAAGACTCTGTCTCAAAAAAAAAAGGATTTCAGTTGAGTTAAGCAAGCTTACTTGCCTAGTAATATTGTATAGTTATAGGAGATAAGAGATAGGCCAAGGCATAGAAGCTTTATTTGCTAGTACCTAACATCAGAGTAGGATTAGCGTATTGCTGCTTTAGTACTGGGTTGTAAAGTTAACCAAATAAAGCTCCTGGTTCTTACATTTAAGTAGTGAAATAAGTGAATGTTAGTTACTTGTGCTACCAGTTATCGTATCTCAACCTTCATTAGGTTGTCCTAATTTTCATACACACAAAAAGTTCTCCTTCCTGAATTTGAAGAAAAAAACACATTTTAGTGTATTAAATTGGATAAGTTCAATATTGATCTTTATTAATATTTTAATAGGCTGTTAACAAGTTGGCAGAAATAATGAATCGAAAAGATTTTAAAATTGATAGAAAGAAAGCTAATACACAAGATTTGAGAAAGAAAGAAAAGGAAAATCGAAAGCTACAACTGGAACTCAACCAAGAAAGAGAGAAATTCAACCAGATGGTAGTGAAACATCAGAAGGAACTGAATGACATGCAAGCGGTAAGGTTTCTGTGTGTGTACAGACATGAGTGTGAAGGGTTGTTTTCTTAAATTATTTCTGTATATACTTGTTATCTATTTATCTTGTTTAGATTGGGTTTCCCTATATCTAACAATACATATTTTAGTATATACTCTTCATATTTTAGTCGTTATTACTCTAATATGAATCATGATCTTGAAAAACTAGAAAGATGCTCTGTTGCCTAATAGTCATTGTAGCTTGAGTAATTTTTACCCACTAAATAGCAGCTGCTTATTTAGAAGCCCTATTCTGAAAGAGACAATCAAGGGGTCTGCCTGTGTGGTTTCAGACTGAAATTGGGATATGGCTGTTATAAATTAACTATAATTGGGGTAGAGGTTTTGAAGTATTGTAGCTTATTTATTTTCTCTAGTCAAGACCCACTTTTTTGAAATCTAAATAGAAGGCTTAATTTTTTGATACTTCTTGGCTTGTTAACAGAGCAAAATTGAGAACCTGGTCTCTGGCATTTAGCGCTAAGCTTTTTAGCTCCATCAATTACAGTTTTCTGTACCTTTAAAGCTACTTCATTTGGAGCCAGAAAAGCATTTTCAATTGTTTTAACTTTTTTTGTTTTGATGGCTTATGTTTGAAAACAAAAACAAAAACTCTTTTTAAGGCAAGGAGAAAAGGAATTTGTCTGAGCTGTGTTATTACTGAGAAAGAACTTGACATTTCTGTAGTGTATCAAAATCTGTGGTAGCAAACACTCATGAAGTTTACTGTACATTTTTAGTATTAGCAGTTTAAATTACATGCTATATTTCAATTAATAATGTTGGAAATTATTTTAGCTTGATTATATTATCTTGATACTTTTCAAAAATAGCAATTGGTAGAAGAATGTGCACATAGGAATGAGCTTCAGATGCAGTTGGCCAGCAAAGAGAGTGATATTGAGCAGTTGCGTGCAAAACTTTTGGACCTCTCAGATTCTACAAGTGTTGCTAGTTTTCCTAGTGCTGATGAAACTGATGGAAACCTGCCAGGTAAGAATAATTCCATATCATTCAAACATGTATAAATGTCACGGAAATTAATATATATTTCTTTCATTTGGTTTTCTACCTCCTTGTCATTTTGTCCATGGATTCCTAAGAAGGAATTCTTATTTCTGATAGCCAAAGCCTGATGATGATTGTATACTTGGTGTATTTTATGGAGTAGAAGCAGTTGTAAGCAATCTTAGGCTATTTAAATAGACCTAAGAAGCTCCACCTGAATAAAAACCGTAAGAAGTTTATGAATCTATTTCGAGCACCCAAAGTCCACAGTGAGAGTCAAAGCTGCTGCTACACATCGCACTATTTTTATAAGTTGTACATTTTTGTGAGTAATAGCTCTTTAAACATTTTATTTATTCTTGTGCTAAAACTAAGAACTGTACTTTATCATCAGAACCACAGTAGCTATGTATAGAAACCTATCTAGTGGAATAGTAATCAACTTTAATCAGACTTTGTTAAGTTTTAAGTTTGGAGAAATAGATAAAAAGGGTTGGGCAGTGCAGTAAGAGGCCAGGGAGGTCAAATAAAGGCAGGAATGAGTGGCTAAGATTTCAGACTTTTTTCCGTGTCTCCTTTTTCCCAGTGGAGAATCAATTTAAAATTAAACACAGCCTCATTCTTGGCTTAATCATCATGTAAACTATAGGACATATATGTACTTTATAGAGATGAGAAATATACATACTATAAGTTCAATTTAGAAATGAAATGAATAGGCCAGGCCTGGTGGCTCACGTCTGTAATCCCAGCACTTTGGGAGGCTGAGGTGAGTGGATTGCTGGAACTCAGGAGTTTGAGACCAGCCTGGGCAACACTGTGAAACCCCGTCTTTAAAAAAATAATAATAATAATTAATAAAAAAAAAGGAAAGAAAGAAATGAAATGAATAGATTATAATTTAATAACATGCATTTACATATACACAGGTTTGAAATACTCTACAGTCTTAGTTCAGGGTCTTGGAAGTTTTGTTTATATGGTCATGAACTTGAAAATAGATTTAATTTGTGTATTTTCTGCATAATACATAAATAGGAAGATATTTTGAAGCAGCATGTTTGATGTTATAGGGATTCTATTTTAACAGATATTACTTGTTATTGTGAGTTTGATATAAGGAACTAGATGAGTCACTCAGAAAATTTTATAGTATCTTTCTTGGTCAAGAAAGTAGGATTCAAAGTGGGAAATGAATTTAGCACCTCCCTGTATACCATGTGATCCCTGGCCTCATTCTTGTGTGGCTTTGCTAGGTCAAAATCAGGTATCTGGGAATGGAAAGGCAGTGAAGAAATATTTATTTTCATGGTCAAGGAACTCCTCTGTTTACCTGTTTTTGGCTCTCTGAAACTGCCTACCTTTTGAGAAGCTTGTTAGGTACACATGATTTATTATTGGAGGATCACTTTGGATTTAATAAGAACCTCTAGCTTTAGTAGTTGTTTCAACATCTTTTTAAAGTTAGACTTAATCATCACCAAGAATTTTATTTTTAGAAGTGTTTGGCTACACTCTTTCAATTGTTGAACTGAATTTGTAGGTTAGATTCCCACTTCATTAACCCTGAGATACTCCTAGAGTTATTTAGTATAGGGGTTCTTGCTCTATTACCCAGGCTGGAGTGCAGTGGCGCAGTCTTGGCTCACTGTAACCTCTATCTCATGGGCTCAAGCGATCCTCCCACCTCAGCCTCCTGAGTAGCTGGGACAACAGGTGCACATCACCACACTGACTAATTTTTAAAATTTTCTGTAGAGACGGGATTTCACCGTGTTGCCCAGGCTGATTTCAAACTCCTGAACTCAAGCTATCTGCCTGCATTGGCCTTCCAAAGTGCTGGTATTACAGGTGTGAGCCACGTGCCGGGCTGATCTTACTCTGTTTAGTGTCAGTTAGAAATCCTGACCAGTTTTGTTTTTTTTTTTTTTTTATTCCATCCATTTCCCCTTAACTATTTACAAAGCCTTATGTGTACCTTAGTTTTCTTAGTATTGGGTTAAATATGTCAGAAATGAAACATTATTGGTGAATGCTAGTTAGAAGATCTGAGCTGAAAGATGAGCTGGTGGGACTGCTAATGAGGGAAGTGATAAGTTTTACCCTCCATCATGGTTGATTCAGAAACACTAAGCTCATAGTGGCACCAGCTGGTTTGATTGGCAGACTTAGGCTAGGAATCCATTTAGATTTTAGAATCCTGACCTAATAAATTGACTTAGCAAAGAGATTTTTAAATGTTTCTATTAGCTCCATTTTGAGTATATTTCTTAGAATATTAGTGTACGTTCAGGAATTTTGTTTTTAAGGTTCTCAAAGTCCAAACCAAGTGGGACGGGGAGTACTGGTGGCCATTCTCCCTTGCTAGAAAATGAGCCAGTTAATATCTCTTTCCCTATTACTGTGTTCCTAATTTTGAGACTTTATAAAATCTCAACAGTGCTGTACCTTGACTTTTATATTGGAAGTAGAAATTAATGGATAATCTTTGTCAATGTTATTTACCTCTCTGTGGGTCAGATATTTTGCTAGTAAATTGAAAATCTTTATTAAATTCACCATTTAATAGATGCTCAAAAATGGTTCTTGGCAAATGAAGTGTTAAGGTTTTGCAGTCATATATAGGAAGAATTATTAAAGAATTTTGATAGTCATTCTTAATATTAGATATGTATCATTCAAGTATCTGAAAAATGTCTTGAAGGTACTGACTAGTGATTCATTTTTACTTCAGTTTAGAAAATTGGTAAATGAGTATACATGCTAAAAAGGAGAGGACTTTGAATAGATGAAGTTTACTGCACAGTTAATGACTTTTTGAAATATGGGTCATTCAGTTTTTTTTAAGTAGTTGGATGAATTGACACTGCAACTTTTATTATTTCTTTTAGATTTCATCATTCAATATAAAGATTATAATTTAATTATCTTGTACATCTGGAGCGCAGCCTCTATGAATCCTCAGTGGCCATTTTGTTATTAACTAGCTTAAATCTTAAATCTCCCCTCTAAAATTCCCAATTCTGAAAACCTTATTAAAAAATGTTATTCCTTTTCTGACTTAAAACTCTTTGAAGTTCTTGAAGTCACCTTCATTCTCTTAATTCTTTTATGTCTTTATCCTCCCTTTGGTTCTGTAGCAGGTTGTGACCTAGCACACGTGTAAACAAAGAGATTACCCTTAGGGTTATGGATGTCTGTTACCTAAATGACAAAAAACTTTAATGTGATTACTGTATCTTTTCCTCATTCTTTCTCTTTCCTTCTTTTGGAACTGTTAACCTAGACATCTGAAGAGAATGTAGAAATAGATGAGGCATTAGGAAAAACCTTTGGTTTTGATACTCCAGTAATATTCATTATCTCTAATGGATTATTTGTATCATTCTCTTTTCCATCCAGCTTGACCTTAGGTTATGTAACTTGAACCTGAAAATGGTGGATATCTTGGTGTGTTTCCCAGTATTTGAATATATAAAGGTTTCTTACTTTGCCCAAATCTACAGTGATTTGAATTTGGTACATCTGACTTGTTGAGTGTTGATTTAATTTTCTTTTTTATATCACTTTTGAATTAAAGTGTTTTGAAATGGTTCTCTAGCTCTGTTTCTTAAGCGGTATGTTTGTGGTATAGCTAAATAAATTAGGTAGTCTTCAGAGGTTAGCTCTGATGTTTAAATTGGCTGTATCAAGTATTAATGTACATATAGTTAGGCTATCTCTTATTTGGGTAAAGAGATCACTGACATTGCAGTAATATACATTTAACTTCTTGTAAGTTAAAATGACTCTACAAATACATTGTATAAAATTTGGAGCCAAGGTGTTTTTGTACATGTGTAGAATATATTTTTTTTCTTTTTTTCTTTTTTCGAGGCAGAGTCTCGCTCTGTCATCCAGGCTGGAGTGCAGTGGCACGATCTCGGCTCACTGCAACCTCCGCCTCCCGGGTTCAAGCAGTTCTCTGCCTTGGTCTCCCAAGTAGCTAGGATTACAGGCACCCACCACCAAGCCCGGCTAATTTCTGTATTTTTAGTTGGGACGGGGTTTCACCATCTTGGCCAAGCTGAGTCCTGAACTCCTGACCTCGTGATCCACCCACCTTGCCCTCCCAAAGTTCTGGGATTACAGGCGTGAGCTACCTCACCCGGCCTGTAGAATATTACTAATGATAATCCAGACTTAGAGGTTCTCTCAGTGGGAGTTTCATTTGCTTATCTAGAGAAGCTGATTTCTGTGCTTATGAAAGATGAAATTTACAGCAGTTTACCTCCAGATCGCCAGTTAAGTCACAGGTGGTCCCTATTTTAGAGGAGGTCCCTATCTTAGAGGAGGTCTTTATATATTTTAAAAACTGGTAAGTATATTATCTTTCATCTGTGGTAGGAGTAAGGAAAGAAACACAGGAGAAGCTAGTATGTATTTTTTATCTGTTATTATTCAGCTTAGTTGAGTTGCTTCTCTGAGGGAATTCACCAGACAGGAAAACTAAAATTTTCTCCCATAACGTTGTTGTAAATTGGCAAAAATCTTTACATATTCTCAACACCTTTATTTGCATTCCAGATTTCATTTAATTTCTTTTTTCCCCTCCTCTCTTCATTTAATTTAAATATGAACAAATGTAGAATTTAGGCTTATTTGACTCATAAAAGTCCCTCAATATCTAAAATTTCTAAGGAACACTGAAATGAACAGATAAAGGCATACCATGTAACAACTCATGGAAGATATATTAAAGAAAACTGACAGGTTAACTTACATCTAGAGCCAGAAAGCATAAATATTTTTGACATTTATTATTACAAAGAAATAATGTGGAGGTATAGGGCATTTTGACATACATAATTTTGTGTGAATGTCAGGATTTCAAGGGCTTTTATATCTTTTTCAGTGAGGAATTACTGATACTAAACAACTTTGTATTATCAGATATTAAGACTATTTTTCATTCTCACTAATGTTCATCTTAATGTTTTCCAAACTACACTTTAAAACCAGAACTGCAGTTTCTGCCACACTAATGGGAAAATTTCTGGTAATAACTTTTTTACTTTTGTAAGATAAAATATTGGTGAATGATCAATATGTGATCAGCAGCCTTCTGCATGTTATTTAGTATAAAACTGCCCATTTATTAAACTATAACCACTATTTACAAAGGATGACTCTAATTGGCTTAATTCAGAAAAAGGCAGAATTGCAAAATAATCAACAGATACCTATCAAGTACCTCCTCAGTGTGTCAGCTGCCATGGGGTATAGAAAATCAAGTGTTAAGATATGGTCCTTGCTTTCACAAAACTTACCAAGGAACTACCTAACCAACAAAATAATTATTTCATGAACTAAATTGCGACAGTTAAAGCTAGGTGCTGTGGTGCATACCATTGCTCAGGAAGCTAAAGCTCAGGAGTTCAAGGCCAGCCTGGACAACATAACAAGACTTCATGTCAAAAAAAAAAATGGGAGAAGACAGGGATCATTTTGAACTAAAGTTATCTCATTATTTCTTCCATTTTAACAATTTATATGAAGAGTAATAACGAGGAAAGGCGTGGAGTACCTGGTGGGAGTAGGGGAAAAAATATTTCCCATAATTCAGTCAACCGCAAAGCTTGTTTGGGAACAGAATAGTGTTGTGCTTTAGAAACATAAGCTCAGAAATTAGACTGCCTGGGTTTGAAACCGTAGAGCTTTGATAGATACTGATACAATTGCCTTGCACAAGTTCAGTTTACCTTGCTAAGCCTTAATCTCTTCTTTTGCAAGTGGAAGATGATAGAGCCTATTTCGAATCCCTAGGAATATAATATCCTGTATTCATGGACTTAGATTAAATATGAGATATTATAAAACGTGGCAAATAATAAATTTATAAGTAATAATAAGTCAGTAAATGTTACCTATTAACTATTACTGTAAGACTGAGTTTTAAGCTTTTAAATTATGTGAAGGGGGACAATATATGTATTCCACTTAGGATTATGATTTGAATGATAGTATAATCTTATATTTTAGTGTCATTCTTTGAAATTGGTTATTTTTCTGTTCTTTCGTGTTTCAAATATAAGGGGTTTTTTTTGTTTCAAATATTTTTGAGAGCTATAGAAAATAGTAAAATTGAATGAATTTTATTTCCAACCTGATATAAAAATAACCATTTCTAATGGAATTGTCTTTGTCCCCCAGATATTTCTAGTAAACATTAGTTACATTTAAACAGTAGTGCTAGTTATTATAAAATGCCTTGGTCAAATAGTCAAGGAATTCCTGGTATGCACGTACTAGTTGAAATAGTAGCGGTAGACCCAATTCTGTGTGGTTTTACTGTTTATCAAATTGTGACATCACAAACTTAAGAGGCTTTAAAACTCTTTAGTTTGAGTAGAATTGTAATTGGACTTAACCACTAGAATTTAGTGCTCCCCTCAACCAAATTTGGATGATTTTATTGAAATTGTTGCCGTTGTTTTACCAAAAAGCTTAATCAGAATGTTGTACTGAGAAAACAAATAAAATGCTTTTCTCTTATTCTTTATATCTAGTTGATTCTGCCTGCATTCCTTATTTATTTATCTCCTATTCTTGTCTTCTGTGAGTAATAGGACACTTCTATACTTTTGCTTGCTCTTTCTTGTGTAAATCATGGCTCTGATTTGTTCCACTTGCTGCATAATTTTTTTTCTTTTTTTTTTTTGCTGATTATTTTTATATGAATGTTAAGTGATAAAGTCTTCTACATCATATCCCATTTAAGCTGAAATCCATTCCAGTCTTGCCTGGCTCTTGAGGATATTGTTACTTCATACTTTTGTAATTGAGTACTAAATGTTAAATTGTATGGGAAAAGTGGCTTGGAATTTTTTTCTGCAGTATTTGTATGGCCGTTAAAGTTGATTTGTGTGATTGAAGCATGGAAGAGCAAATTATAGCACTTATTCATTTAATTGTGTTCAATTGCTTGTTGCTGCATGCTGTCAGACAACTTTTAATTGTTTTTCTTTTGTTACAATTTAAGACTAATATGTATATTTTTTCTCCTAGAGTCAAGAATTGAAGGTTGGCTTTCAGTACCAAATAGAGGAAATATCAAACGATATGGCTGGAAGAAACAGGTACCATATACCTAATTTTTTTCTAACTGGTGTTTTGTTCTATATTTTACTTTGAAACATAGAACTTATATTAACTCCTTTTTTTTTTTTTTTACTAGCATTGGTTTTACATTAATTAATATAATATAATATAGACATCAGTGGCAAATATTGTGCTTATCACTTTAAACCAAGTTAATGTTGCTCTTTTAACTCTTCCCCCTTTTTTTCTTATTTCAGTATGTTGTGGTAAGCAGCAAAAAAATTTTGTTCTATAATGATGAGCAAGATAAGGAGCAATCCAATCCATCTATGGTATTGGACATAGAGTAAGTTGCCTTTGATTGAATTTTAAAGTGGTTGAGAGCTAACTTTTGATAATTATTTTCAGACTTAAAATTTATTTTATATTTTGTGTTATTTAAACACTGTTTTCTATTTTTCCGGTTTAACAAACGTAAATGTTGACTTTAATGTAAGAAGCAAAATGTAAGAAGGAAAAATTTATAGGCTTATTGAAAAATGAATTTTTTGTTTCAAGTGTTTAGTAGTTTGAGTTCAGAAAGCATTTCAAAATGTATAGTCAGTTCTGTATCAGTGGGTTCCATGTCCACAACTGTGGATAGAAAATATTTGAAAGGGGCCGGGCGCGGTGGCTCAAGCCTGTAATCCCAGCACTCTGGGAGGCCGAGGCGGGTGGATCACGAGGTCAAGAGATCGAGACCTTCCTGGTCAACGTGGTGAAACCCCGTCTCTACCAAAAATACAAAAAATTAGCTGGGCATGGTGGTGCGTGCCTGTAATCCCAGCTACTCAGGAGGCTGAGGCAG